ACCTTGCAGCTATTCTCCACAGCGTCCCGTTTGTCACCTGTCAGATTAAAGGAGTGGGGGGAGGTATGTACACAGGAGCCTGGTGAGTTTGTTTKTTTTTTTTAGCTAAAATAATAAAAAATATGGATTGTGTTGCTGAGCTTTGAAAGGCGGAACAAGCTGAAGATAGGATCTGGGTTCATGTTTCATTTCTAAACATCAGGCATTTAGCTAGAGGGGCATTAGAGCATCCTGGACACCCTGTTTGGTTTTCCAACGCCATCAGGGCAGTGTGCTAATCTTGATATTTCTTTAAACCCTCTATACATTTCTTAAACTTCTGTCAATGAGGAAGACCGGCAATGGTTTCATCAGATCGTGATCTCCAGCTCTCACTGGAGCAGTGTGCAGTGTGAAGCGGCCAGGATGAGAATCAGTGCCTCCGAATCTGAGACCATAGTCTTGAGCTGGAAAATGGTAGGGTGCCTTCTCCGGGTCAGGGAGGAGGTCCTGCCCCAAGTGGAGGAGTTTAAGTATCTCCGGGCCTTGTTCACGAATGAGGGAAGAATGGAGCGGGAGATCAACAGGCGGATTGGTGCTGCATCTGCAGTGATGTGGGCGCTGTACCGGTCTGTCGTGGTGAAGCGGGAGCTGAGCCAGAAGGTGAAGCTCTCAGTTTACCAGTCGGTCTACGTTCCTACCCTCATCTGTGGTCACGAGCTTTGGGTAGTGACCGAAAGAATGAGATCGCAGATACAAGCGGCCGAAATGAGTTTCCTCTACAGGGTGTCTGGGCTCTCCCTTAGAGCAGAGATTCTTAACCCATGGGCCATGACCCAACTGTGGGCCGCGAGCGCAACTTTGAGGGCTTCAAAAGAACAACAGCTTTTAACTTTGGGCCGCAGAGGGCCGTGGGACCGCATTGTTTGAATAAGGTGCAATACACTTTCTCACCACTAGTAGCAGTAGTGCGCCACTCAGATGTTTAACAACTTTTTTAATATGTAGAAGAAGAACCTTAGAAACCTGCTGAGAATGGAAACTTTGTGTCCAAAACGGCAGGACGGGTCCTCCGAAGGTCGAATTTGTCGGCCGCATATGTCACAGCGCCGCGACGAAGGACGTCCAAAACGGAAGACTCCTCCGATGCGTTCGACAAATACGTCCTTCTTTTTCCCCGAATCGAAGGACAGGTCCGATGGATCCTTCCCGGCCCAGCATATCCCATAATGCATTGCGGCCCGACCGGAGATTTTTTTAAGCTAGTAATGGCGGACGAAGCGAGAGAAAAGAATACGTTTTAAATAAAAATATGGTGATTTAAAAATTTTAAAAAAATTAGCGGTTGTAATTCTAATACTTTTATCATTTGTATGGACATGTTTTTAAATATTATTTTTTCGTCATAAAAAACGCGAAATAAACATGAACCTACAGTGGGTCAATTAGTTCTTCAAATGATACCTTTAAGTTAATTTTATTGTTTTGTGATATTAATAATGCTAATGTATTGATATTTTTCTAGTTTTGATTTAAGTTTGCTTGTTTAACGTCGTCACAGTTGCTAGGTGACAAGACGTACGCCGGGGTAAGGAGGGGAGGCTAGACCGTCCAAATCCACAGCCTCTTTTTTTCCAGTCTTCCCGGTCTACCAAGGACCCGGCCTGCCGAGACCGGGGAGTCTGGGTCCTCCGGAGGACCCGGCCTGTCGTTTTGGACACAGCTTTATTTTAAATGAAAAGTAGAAGCAAAAATGAAAGTAACTCATCAAAAAACACCAAAGTTTGTCACTAATATGAAGAGCAGCTTCTGGTTGCAAAAGTTTAAGAAGACTATATTTTCATTTGTACTTTATCAAATTTATTTTTACAGTTTTTTATTTGAAACATTAACATTTATTTTATGCCCACAATTTAATTTTTGAATTGTCTATTTTTGTTATTATTTATGTTAAAAATATATATATATATTAGTGTTGATAAGCCTGAGTGGTCTGTTGACTGACCTTTGCATTTGTTCAAATAATTGTTATGGGCAGGTTACAATATAAAAGTGTTTGTCATAATCATGTCTTGCGATTATCTGACAAGAGTTTTACTTTTAAACTGTAAGTGTATTTAATTTAGTTATGTTAGTTATGATAGTTTAGTTATGATGTAAATACAATAAAAATTAAACCAAGATTTAGAATAATTATCATTTTGATCTKTACACTGGTAATGTCTGATTGGGCCTCGTGCCACTTTATGTTCAATAAATTGGGCCCTGGGGTCAAAAAGGTTTAGAACCMCTGCCTTAAAGATAGGGTGAGAAGCTCAGTCATCAGGGAGGGACTCAGAGTAGAGCTGCTGCTCCTCCACGTCGAGAGGAGCCAGTTGAGGTGGCTCGGGCATCTTATTTGGATGCCTCCTGGACGCCTCCCTGCTGAGGTGTTCCGGGCACGTCCCACCGGGAGGAGACTCAGAGGAAGACCCAGGACACGCTGGAGGGACTATGTCTCTCAGCCTGGGAACACCTTGGGATTCCCCCTGGACGAGCTGGCCCAAGTGGCTGAGGAGAGGGAAGTCTGGGTCTCTCTGCTTAGGCTGCTGCCCCCTCAACCCRACCCCAGATAAACAGAAGAAAATGGACAGACAGAGGAAGACACGTAAAGAATATGTTACAGCTTCTGTAGCTGTTGTTGTGTGGTGTTGCACCTGGTCAGTTCGTAACTTTTTTTTACCGACATAATTTTTGTAAAGTTCCTCAAGCTTCGTAGGGGGATGCATAAAATGTAGAGCAATCACCCTTTATTCAAGTTGCACAAATGAAATGGAGACTTCACAAATCTTAAACTTGCTTTAAAATATTCTGCAATCTGTGTAGAATAATATAGTCCATGTTTGACGAGTCAAAGTATTTTACTTTTTAATCTAGAGCAGATTGAAGAAGCTCACGGTAGTGTAAAGTTAGATGGAATCAACGTTTAGCCATTTCCCCAATCGGAAGCTACAATCAGAAGCCAGCTTCGCTTCATGCCAGGTTTCTGTACGCACTGCATTATGGGTGGAGGTCAGAGGTTACGCAAACCCATGTGGCTGTTAGATTTGATTGGCATCAGGGGTTTCTCTCATTTATTGGTTCAGTTCTGGTGTTTTTTTTTTTATTCTAGCAGAAATAACATTTTGTGGGATAAAATTTTCAAATCATTTCGCTCAAGGACTTTTTACAAACAAGAGGGTCTAAACCATAAAGTTCAATTTAAAGTTTTTATTTGTAATTATATTTTTTAACTTGTGAACTACTTGTTTTAACCATGATTTTCATTTGCTCAACTCTTCTTGCTTGCTTGAAGTCAGGTTAGTGTGGCTAGAAAAAACAAGTACAATTTTGTTAATGCCAAATTTGTTTTTATTTAAAAACAAATGCAAAAAAGTAATAATAACTCAATATTATCTTAAAGGGTCAAACKTTTCAGTCCCTAATCCTTATCCTATCAGTGTAACCTGAACAATCCTTCATTTGGGCAGACATGAGGAGAACATTTGTGCATCTTTCATCACAGAYGTTTATTTTTTTTAACAGACAGGCCTGTTTTCCTTCCTTTGACAGCCTAATACATCTCCGTCTTCATGCATGTGATGAAGTCACAGGGTGATTTATACGTTTGCTGTGTGAGGAAAAGCAGTTTCCATGCTCTGTGCCCCCCGGGGGAATTTTACCCTGGTCTGTAGAAAAATCTGTCTGCCTTTAGTGATACTTTAGCTCCATGAGCAGACTACGCAATCTGGCTCACAGAGAACTTTTTGTTCCACTTCGCTGCTACAAAACCAGTTTTTCATCGAGAACTTGAGGTCATCTTGTTCCTGAAAAGATGCTTCTGTCATTCTAGAGAGGTTCATGCTAACATGGAGGAATAAATATTCAACCGTTTGAACCAGTTTGGATAGATTTTCCTCACAGCACTTCAGCAACAAGAGCTCAAAAGCATTGAGTAGCACACAGTATTGCTGCACTCATCGAATCCGCTATAGTTTCTATGCCAGGTTACTAGGTGGCGCTGTAGTTTATGTATTTCCCTTCCGTCTCGAACATGTAAACAGCTACATCCAAAACAGTAAAAACAAATGTTTGTCCCATATGTTGAAAAAGGCGAGCAGCACGTCACTGCCCGATCTGTCCCCGAAGCACSATCTGTATTGTCAGCTCATTTGCGCACGCACTAAAAGAAATACTTTCAGATCACTGATTAATGCACTCGATTTATTAAGAAAAAGTACTGGAAGTCATCATTTCCGTCCTTCATCATAAAAGGTGTACTAAATTATATCCTGAAAATGGTTTCAATATAACAGAAATAATAGACATGTTAATAAAATATAGATTAATGAAGTGTACATATATTATCTAAAAACATTGGACCTATTTTACTAGTCAATGTTATCATTTCTCTTAGTGAATAATAACTCACACTTTTTACTTTGAAAAAATAATTCAGTAGAAAATTCTTCATTGGATTGATTGATAAGACTAACATAGGCTACTTATGCTAACAAGGAATTATGGAGTCATTTTTTATGTTTTTTTCTGGACTAAAAATCCACATCTGTTTCAAACGTTCCCTTTTCTWGGAAATATTGCAGGTGATGAAAGAAAATTAATTCTGTCATCAAACTGTCTAGCGAAATGCTACATGCTAAAAAATAAAACCCTCCTGGAAGTATTAGTGCATGCACAAATGAGCTGAGAGCATGGATCACACACAAACAGTGCACTGCTATTGGCCGTTTGATGAGCTTCTCACGCCAACGCAGACTAAAATGGCTTTAACCCTAGCTCGCACCTCTTTACATAAGTCATAATGTCTCTTGAAATGATGAGGGCATTTCCAAAAACCTYCACACTGAGAACTGGATTCAAAAATCTTTGCTGTTGTCATCTACMTAAACAGCTGAAAYGTAGCAGGAATGCAGTGGTTTTGCCTAAAAATGGCGTAGCCTGTCAGACACACTAACAAAAAACAGGAAACATATTCTTTAATTTTTTTTATGCATTTATTCTAAACGGAAAAAAATATATAATTCAATAAATATTGTTGCAACAACATTGGCAAAGACATTTTGAAGATGACATCAACATTCAAGAACAGACGAGTCAACACACGGCAAAAATAACACATTTACAAAATGTAGGCAGGAGCTGGGGCACCGCAATGCCAAATGCTCCGGCAGCTGAATAAACCAGTTGCTGAGCTCAATGGTAAATTTGTAGAAAAGTGCATTTCTAAATTTTGACATTTAAATTAATCTGCACCATGTTTTGAAGCAACAACAAAAAAAAAAAAACACTCTTAAAAGTAATTTTCTCCCAAGGCTACCCATTGTTTACATTGTAACATGCTATAATTTAAACAACACATAAATCCTTTAACATTTGGAATGACCTAAAACTTTCAAATCAGGCAGAAAAATATCMATTTGAATACTTTAAATTTAGTTAATCAGAGAAGAAAACGGCACTGTGTGGCTGAAATGGGCAGAGAGCTGAGGGCTAATCACGTGTTAGCTAGCACCCCTTCGAGTCAGCTAGTTAGCTAACAAGCTAGTGTTAGAGTTAGCCAACACCCATAGTTAGCACCTCAGCCAGTTAGCTAGGGTGCTAACTCTGGAAACCTTGTTTGCAAACATTTGACATTTTTTCAGAACAGAAGCCAACTCTGCTTTGTAACATTTAAAAAGGTTTCTTTGAGAAATGTCTGTATTTACTTTAGCTTATTAGTGGGAGGTTTTAAGTTATCAGATCAGTAGCTTATTAGCTAACAAGCTAAAAATTTAACTATTTCAGACATATTTTAGCCTTTTTCTTGGCATTAAACTTGTGTGGCCCAACAAGGCTAGAAACGTTAACCCTTTATTTTGGACTGAGGACCTTTTAAATCCTGAACCAAGAGCAGTATTTTCATTCAAAASACTTGGTTCCACAGTCTTTGTGGCTTTAATTGGTTTCCAACCAGTTATATGAAAGGTCTTTTTACTTTTTCAGGTATTTTTTTTGTTTTTGTTATTTCTTCACCTCATTAAGGCCACCGTATAAGTCGTTTTTGTACCATTTTATTTTTAAATGTGAATTTTCTAGTGCGTTTCTAACACTGCTCCTAACACAAACTGAGCTTTAGATGATTTTAAAAACTGTTGTTGGTGTATTCATATGGACTCGAGTTACAGAACCCATGAGAAATATGAGACATATTAACCTATTCCTCTGACAAAAAGAGGTTGAAACTAAAATGTCGACTGAAATGTTTTGACCATTTTTCCCCCACAGTTGTTACGTTATTCTGATCCGGTAACCAATGATTTTTAACCATGTGCTAAAAAAAGGTTAGGTGAAAGGAAACTAAAAAATAACACTTGTTCACAGAAATTTTTTAGCCAAGCTTAGAATAATTCTTTGCATTTTATGTCGTTACCGTGGATGTTCGCCATCTAGTGGTGCGGTATGGACAGTAAACTGTTTTTGTGTAAAAGTGCGCGGGCAGAGTTTGTAATATAAACAAAGAAAAAAATTAATAAATATCCGGGGTAGGGTAGTGCTTTTGTGTCTATTAATGGTTTGACCCTCTGTTTGCCCTTGGATCAAAATGACCTACAAGTATTAACACTGAGGCCATTTGGGTCATTTTGATCCCAAACACAACCGGATGGTAATGTGTATTTTTTATTTTAGAATTATTTTGTTGTTGAAGTGACAGATTAAGAGTTCAGCCTCTGCCACTCAGCTCTTCATGATCAGATCTACAAAAGGTTTAACTAAAAAAAAAAAGAAAAAAAAAAACACAATTACACGCAAACTTCACATTTCACCAACAAACAGATCAAGAGACGGAGCTTCATGTTCGGTCTCTTCTGCAGACAGACTGACAGTCACTGGAGCAGGTCTGAGCGTGACTCGGTTCCAAACACAGTGATGAGCTGTCGTACGAGCCCTTCGAGCAAAATAATAAAAGTTGTTGATCCGGTACAAACAGCTCTTCTTTTTTTTTTTGTATCCACCCTCCCAAATCGCCGGCTTTGGCTCTCATTCAAAAGATTGCACATTCTAGAAAAGCCTTCACATGTGAGGAATGACATCACCCCTCCTGCTCATTTCCCGTTTGCCAAGGAAAGACTCGGCTGCATCCGCTTCGGCCTCGCAAAGGAAGCCGGTCTCTTCCTAGAGCAGGTAGCTCGCTGATTGATAGTTTCCTTGTCTGGTGGGATCGGGGGAGGGGGTGAGGTGAGGTGGGGCGTACAACGACTGGGACTCTACAACACATTGAGTCTCTATTGGTGCAGTCCAGAATATTCCAGTAAAATGATCTCAAGCTTATAAAACCCCCTTTCCAGACCAAAAAAAATGTGTCTTTTGCATGCAGGATAGAGCTTTGTCCCGTAGCTTCCTGCTTCCACAGTAATATCATCCTCTTGTTCAGTTTGACCCCGCCCCCTTTTCACAGTCTGATAAGTCACATGACCGAACAACTTTTGGCCTTGTCCTTCCGTAGGTCGGTGGCGACGGCTGCCAGGTCGGGCCGACTGGGCATGTGTGAAATCCTCTTGTTGGCTCGTGCGGTCTTGCCGCGTTTGACGTTCTTGTTGTTCTTGTTGATGCAGGCCAGTGTGGCCATGTGGAAAATGTCCCTGACGCTGTTCTCCGACTGCTGAGCCGAGCACTCGATGTAAGGCGCTGAGATCTGCTTGGCCATGCTGGAACCCTGGGGGAAAAATTATAGCAAAACAAAAAATGATTTAAAAAGGAAAAAGGGTTATGAAGTGGGTCAGAATTACAAGAAAACTGGTAGGTCACCCTGCTGCCCCTGAATCAAAATGATCAACAAGGCCTTCGTTTTAAAAGAGATCTGACATTTATCACATTTTTCACTTAAGCAAGTTCCCATTTTATTACTGACACAATGCATTCTGGGGATGATGGGTTGCACTGGACACTAAAACACAAAGAGTTAAGGTTAAAATAAAGTTATATTTTGTATTAGTTTCTATGTGCTGCACAATATAGGGGTTGAAATGATCAAAYGTGATGTTTAGTATATCAGGGAGCAAACGCCTTACCAGTATATCACAATATTTATATTACTATAACATAGGGCTGAACATCAGACACTGTCCAAAATCAACCTTCAAGCTAGAYAGAGCTCCCACCAGTGCAGCGAGTAAACATAATTTACCCAGAATGCTTTGCAGTGTAAAGGTCATGGCAACATCTGTGTGACAACATAAATTTTAACTTATAAAAGCTAAACAGTCAAAAGTATTATTTTTTTATATAGTTGAAGTAATTTTTTTAAAATAATGTTATTCTTAAAAGGGGCAATATCATGTAAAATCAACTTTTTTGAGTTTTATATCATGTTATAATGTTATACTCTCATAAAAAGCATACCCA